CCGTGACCTCCACAGGCACCTTCGGGTGCAGGGGCGGGACTAACTACAGGATGATACAGACCAGTCCAGATCAGTCTGGGACACATGGATAGATCAACAAAGGTATTAGGGAGAGGTGTCGGGGGGGAAAAAGGAAAATACCATCGAGCCCCAGGAGTCCCGCTTAATCTCTGGAAGGACAGCTTGGATCTGTGAAGTCTTAGTCCAAAGACGCCTGAGAAGGGGGCCTGTGAACTCTTGTTTGGGTACAGGGGTAGGACTGGCAGGTGGATGTGTGGGCGTCTGAAGGAAGCAGGTGAGAACTGGGTGTTATTAGCACGTCTGCCATTTCCCTGGCAGGACAGAGTTGGGGGCCTGGGTGACTGGGGATCTGTCACAAGCCTCACCAGTGACCTTCCCCACCTGTACAATATGACCTTGGGCAATGTGGCCCGAGGTGCGCGCAAAGCCCTCCAGACTGAGTCCCTCCCCACTGGTGGCTTCCACGGCAGCTGCAGAGTTCGCTCACTTAGCTGGAATCTATGTCCCTCCCCCTGGGATCTTGGCTGGCAGATCGCTCGCTTAGCTCTTTTCCTGGTAGACGGCAGAAAACTAAACTTCTGCCAGGTTCCTGCTTGGGTGGTGACTAAGTTTTCAATTCACGGGCCCCAAATGAATGGAGTCAGGCCACATGCTAACATATCTTTGGATAGAAACTGCAAGCAATGTCATTATATATGTTAGATTTCAGTGGCCCCCTGGGTGCTGTGTCCTCTGACCGTGGACTCCGTGTGTGGGGCAGGGTCCACCCCTGGGGGGCTGCCCACGGCCGAGCGCCCAGAGGGAGGGCTGCTGCCAAACGCCTGTCTGGCGTCACGTATGGCTCGGCACACCAATCCAAAACATTTCTTTCTGTGTTTTTACACTTGGAAGAAAACTTCCCGTGACTCATCTCATATGCTTTTTGATTCATGTTTAACGTCTCTGGGAAGAAATAAAAACAGTAAGTCATTCTCAGTGAAAATGGCATCAGCCAGGCACAAAGGCCAGGCACCCAGACGGCCCTGCTGCCCCTTTGGTGGCCTCGCAGCTTCAGCCATCAACTGTCACCAGAGGCTGTGTCCATCATCAGCAGTGAAGACAGCTCATCAACGCTGCCTTTCGTCATTTAAAAAAATCACAACGCCTGGAGCCACAGACTCTGCAGGGACAGTTGGCGCCAGTGGGTGCACAGACTCACGCTCTGGAGGGGTGCACGCACGTCAGGGAGCACCCACAAAGTGAAAACGGGTGCTGGGTGCGGGGGAGCACAAAGTGTACGGTGCGTGCACAGCACAGACAGCCTCGCCGGGAAGGCCAGGCACGGGCTTCCTCTCCGCTGCACTGAGTCCGCACCTGCTCAGGTGCCCGGCACAGCCCACAGTCCTGGCTGGGACTGAGCTCCCCGCCTGACCCTTTTCCCCAAGGCCCTGGGGCTGAGTTCCAACCACCTGGGGCCTGGTGAGGGATCACTTGTGATCGATTAGCCCAGCGCCCCAGACATAGGCGGGACGGGTAACTGAAGTCAGGCAGGGAAGACAGGTCCAGCTGACGTGGGGGCTCCTTCCAGCAAACCCCAACTCCTCGCAGGCCCCGCGGTGTCACAGTGGGTCTGTGGGCTGCACAGCCCCGTCCAGTGTACCCTCAGGGGCTGGCCCTCCTCACAACCACCCCAACCCCTCGGTCTCCTAATCTCCATAGGAGACTCCCTGACCCAGACTGTCCCTCACTCACTTCAGTGACACAGAGCAGGCGTTTGTTTGCTGAGCACGTTCCTGGCGTAACTTCTGAGCTGAAAACTTGTACACAGGGTCTGACAGGTCCGAGAACACTCAAGGGGTCAAGGACAGAAAGTGTGGAACCTGGGCTCTCCCAGCTGGGCGGCAGAGCCAGGCTGGGTCTCCCTCGGTAGGGACCCACACAGCACATCACACGGAAACGCCCCAGAGCAGAAGCTCAGGGCACCAGAGGGCAGCGATTCCCTTGCCTGGGGCTGGCAGTCCTGCGGACAGACAGACTGGTCCCCATCCCCCCACTGACTCCACAGTGGGTGAGAGTGCCAAGCTGTCACACGAGCCCCACACTATGTGTGTGCCCCGTGTGTGCCCACAGTGTGTGCATGTGTGTACCCCCTGTGTGTATGTGAGTGCCTACTGTGTGCCCTCCGTGTGTGAGTGTGTGCCCACAGTGTGTGCATATATGCATGTGGATGCACGTGTCTGCCCACAGGAAGTGACATTGCAAAGTCATCCTGAGTCACTCTAAGAAAACCCTCCACTTCCCACAATGGTGGGACCTCCCCTCCCCCGGCCTGCCTCGGACCGCCAAAGCGCACACCTGGCCGGCCGCCGGGCAGCTCTCTGAGAAGCCACCGGGGAGGTACAGACTAGTCAGCGTGCTGGGGGCCAGCAGCCCGACACCCAGGGGCGAGGTTAGTTGGGACCACGCCCTCCTGGCCTTTCTCCTGCAGAACCCCAGGTCCCCGTGCTCCTGTTCACCTGACAGCTTCAGGAAGAACTGTAACTAAACAAATCTCTGTGAGCAACAAGGACCTTTGTGACGTATGAAGAGGGGTCACTATTTCAGGGACGGGGAGGCCCACCTGGGGGGTTACTTTGGCTGCATGCTTTTCACCTCTTTTTCTCACTGGGTTAGCATTTTGAGGGGCCCACCCCTCGGGTAGGACCCCTCCCGCACACACCCATCTGGCCCACCTCACCCACCCTCGCTCACCCCCTCTGGTGACACTGACCTCCCTGCTGCTGCTTAGCGACTCGGGGACCCTCTGCCACCAGCCCTTTGCACAGGCTGCCCTTCCGATCTAAGACTGCCTCTGTGCCTCCTGCAGGTCTCTGTTCCAGGCACCTGTCAGCGAGGCCTTCCCTGAGTGCTCTGTCCAAGACGGAATCCCCAGCACAGCTCTGTCCCCCCTTTCCTACTCTGGTTTTCCTCTACACCTGACTGAGGTCCTGGCCTCTCACCCTATGACTACAATGCAAGGTCCTGGGGGCTGGCTCCACTCTGGCTTGTTCCCCATGAGCCTGGAAGCTTCCGGCCACAGAGTGAGTGATCAGCAAATCCTTGTGCAGTCGATGAGCACATGACTGCAAGGGAGGGGGGCCGGGACCCTTGGCCGAGCAAGCAGGAGCCTCCTGTCCAGAGCCTGGACCAGGAGCAGCGAGCAGGGACCTCCCACTCACCATCTCTGACCACGGATGACCATTCACATCCATGTTTGTGGGCCGCCTGATTCCCAGAGCTCCTCACCTCTCAGTGGTGGCAGTGGCGGGGGTGGGGAGCAGCCAGGTAACTGAGTGCCCCACCCAGCAAGCACCTTTACAAAGGCAAGCAGGAGGCGGGGGGGGGGGGCAGCCAGGACAAGTGGCAGGAGGAACACCCCCCAGGTAAGCTTGAGGCAGGAGGCCCACCCCACCACCCGGCCTTGGCGTGACAAGCGATGCTGCAGACCACTGCCTGTGCCCCCTGGAGCCCCCCACCTGCTCCAGCATCCTGACTCCTGGCCACCAGCCTCAGCAGGACCCACCTGGCCAGGCGCCCCCCTGGGCTGCTGCACCAGCCCCGGAGCCTCCGGCCAGGCTGCATGCAGGCGGGTGACGTCCAGGTAACTGAGCCTGGTTTTCTTTCTCCCGCCCGTTTCCCAGCCCCCTCGGCAGGGCTGGTGGAAGGAAACCCAACTGCGGCTCGTCCTGGAACGACCCGGGTCTGACTGCGCGGGTCCACTTACATGTGGGTTTTCCCCAATTGGCCCAACGCGTCCCTCGGTTTGCGCCCACAGAGTCCACCACCCTCAAACCGAAAACAGCATTTCCGACCCGCAGTTGGGGATCCGTGGATGCGGAGGCCAACCCTAGGCGCTGCTCCCTTACCGAAGACGCCTGAGCACCTGCGGGTGTTGGTATCCAGGGGGTGGGGCTGGGTCCTGGAACCAGTCCCCTGCGGATACCGGGGGACCACAGCTGAGTTCTAGGGAGCCAAAGGCCATTAGCTGATTTTTGATTGTGTGGGGGTGGGAGCCCCAAACCCCTGCGTTGTTCAAGAGTCAACTGTAGTGAAAGCGGTGCCTTCCACGTGAACTTGAGTCTGCTTTTTGGGTGAGAAAAGCCCAGTGACTCACCACTGACCTGTCCGCAGAGGTAGAGGCACCCACCAGGGGCTCCAGTCCCCACCCTGCGAGCAACTTCACAAAGGTGAGCAGGGCGGGGGGCAAGCCGGGATGCGTGTCGGGAGAAATACCTCCTCCTCGGGAAGATAAAGGTGGGAAGTCCACCCCACGACCAGACAGAGCAAAAGGAGACGCCCACCAGGGGCGGGGCTTCCCAGGTGACAGCCGGCAGGAACAGAGCACTGGCCCTCCAAGTGCCGGAGTGGGCAAGCCAGCAGCTCCATCCTGCTGGGCGCCCGTCACCTGAGCCGCAGAGCCACGCCTCTGCTGAGAGTCCGCACCTGGAACCGGCAACCTGCCACCTGTCCTCCCTCTCGCCACAGCGGCTGTCATGCCGAGCCCCCACAACCTCTGAAATTCAGGCGGTGACATGGACCTTGGCCCTATGGCTCAACGCTAGGTGATTCCTTCCAGGTGAGAAGATGAGTGTCACAAAGAGGCGCCCTCCATTTCTGGTGTGGCTCATTGGATTGAGCATGGGCTTGTGAACCAAAGGGTCGCTGGTTCGACTCCCAGTCAGGGCACATGCCTGGGTTGTGGGCCAGGTCCCCAGTAGGGGGCATGTGAGAGGCAACCACACATTGATGTTTCTCTCTTATTCTCTCTCTTCCCCTCTCTCTAAAAATAAATAAATAAAATCTTAAAAAACAAAATTATTGGAAAAAAAAGAAAATTCTAGAACATCAAGGTGGGCTCTCCTGGGCTGGGCTGAGACCCAACAGCCCTCCCCCAAGTCCTCCCCCATGGCTGCCTCCACCCCAACACCCCCAGGCCTGTCAGGCCTCCCAGAGTGACTTACCCAAGGCCAAGTGCAGGTGGGGATGGAGCAGCGATCAGAACCTCCGGGGGCTGGTTCCACGACCTGGGCGGGGCCCCTAGACCATGCCCTGGAAGAGAGGACCCACCGGTCACCCGGGCTGTGGACACCCCGGCCCAGAGCCCGCCGCCTTTCCCTCCGGTCGCTTCCACGTGCCCGTGGGGGAACCACCACTTCCGCAAGCCCCATGCCAAGCCCGGGAAGACCCTGGTTCCTGGCCTCCTTACAGCCATTCAGGACAGGGACCACAGCGCATGCACCCCCCACACCGGGAGGAGGGAAGGCCGCCCCGGTACTGACAGAAGTCCCCCCAGTGAGATGCCAGCTGCCCGCCAGGTAGGGCCAGGGCCAGAGTGAGGCGTGACCTGCGGCCTCCATGGCCTGCACCCTGGGTTCAGGTGCCAGCAGCACCGCAGAGTCACCTGGAGTCACTGAGGCCTGTCACGCCTCCATCTGCCACCTCACCAAAGTCTCTACCCTCAGGGTCATGATGAGGCCACCTAGCACAGGGCCGGCTCTCAGGGGCGCTCACACCAAACTCTGGCCCCCGCATCCATTGAATGGTCAGAAGGCACCACGGCCAACAGGCTCAGTGACCAGCCAGCTCTGTGACAGGGGACAGCAGTTGTAGCCACAGAGACACCCTGTCACAGTCCATCCTGTCTCACTGAGACGCACACCACTCTTATGGGGAAAGCACTGGGTGGCAGGGACGACAGGGAAACACGGGTCCCAGGTGTGACTTGGCCTCTGAGTGGCCCTGCGACAGGTATACCCTGCGATCCCTGCTGGTCGGTTTCCCATCCGTGAAAAAGCGGGCGGGCTGGGTGCCCTGGAGGCTGGGCCAGCTGGGACCCAGGCTTCCCTGCAGGAGGAGGCCCGTCCCTCCCGGGCCCTTGAAGACGCAGCTCCCAGGCTGCACAGGGGCCAGGCTGGCTCTATAGCTAAGCCGCGGCGCTCGTGGGCCTTCCTGTGACGGATGAAGGCTGCCGTCATTGCTCCGGGCAGAGTGAGTAGCAGAAGCCATTATGCAGAAGTAATTGTGTTGAGTTATGCCTAGTGGCGCCCGATTTCTGTCTAGCAACTGTCATACAAGTGGCCATGGCTATTCCTCTCTGGGAGAGCAAACTGTGGAGGCCTGGGCGGCTCGGGCAGACCTGCTGGGCGCTCGGTGACATGCTCTCCCCCAGCACTTGGGACAGGAGAGGCAGAAGACAAACCCTGGGAGGGCCACACTCCCAAAGTCACCTGGCAGGTCCCCTGCACCAGACCCTCCTCCCGTGCCCAGTTCACACCCAGTTCCTTCTCTCCCTGGGGCCCTTCCTGACACCCTGATCTCTTGGGCTTTTGTGCATGTTAGGCCTCAGGCACCCTCCTCTCCTAGGGTCGGGATCTCTGGGCAGTGACCAGGGCAGTGACCAGGGCTGACCCAGGCCCTCAGCAGGGCAGGGAGGGGTGGCCAGAGGGCCTAGGCTTGAATCCCAGCTCGACCACGTCCTAGCTGCGGGACCCTGGCCCACTATCTAACTTCCTAGCATGTACCATGGAGGTGGTAATCCTGCCCAGCTCATCGAGTTCCTGTAAAGATGAACGAGCTCCTGCATGGAAGACGCTCGGCACACAGAACTCAAGCCGTGTCTGAAAGCAGGGGCAGGCCCTGAAAACCTGTGGGAGAACGAGGCCAACTAAAGACACGACCCACCACCGCAGACTCAAGAAGAAATAGACGGACTGGATGAAGATGTACAGTGGACCCTGTACAATGTAGACTCACCGGCGTGGGGCCCCCACAGTCAGAACCCTCGTGTGACTCTGACCCCCCCAAAACTTAGCCGCCAATATCCTACTTTTGATTCCAAGCCATAGGATTATATAAAATATCAATTAACATGAATTTTGTATGTTTTATGTATTATGTACTGTATTCTTACAATAAAGTAAGCTAGCCATGGCTGGTGTGGCTCAGTGGATTGAGCTCTCGACTCTGAACCAAAGGGGGCCCAGACCAGCTGGTTCAATTCCTAGTAAGGGCACATGCCTGGGTTGTGGGCCAGGTCCCCCCCAGTAGGAGGTACACGAGAGACAACCACACATTGATGTTTCTCTCCCTCCATCCCTCCTTTCCCCTCTCTCTAAAAAGAAATGAATAAAATCTTTTAAAAAATAAAATAAAGTGAGGTAGAGAAAAGAAAATCTTATTAAGGAAATCATGGGGAAGAGAAAATGCCCTTGTAGTAACGTACGACATCAATACTGTAAGTCTATACCATTGGTTTACAAGATCTGCGAGATTCCCGGAAACGAACTCAATGTACCAAAATCAATCGTATGTCCACAGAGATGCAATGAAAATTCAAAAGCGAAATTCAGAAAACAACTGTATTGTACCCCCAATGTTCACAGCAGCACAATTTACAGTAGCCAAGTGCTAAAAGCAACCTAAGCACCTGTCAGTAAATGAGTGGATCAAAACACTATGGTACATTTGCACAATGGAATTCTATGCCGCAGAGAGAAAGAAGGAGCTCCTACCCTTTGCCACAGCATGGATGAAACTGGAGAGCATTATGCTGAGTGAAATAAGCCAGGTGGTGAATGACAAATACCATATGATCTCACCTTTAACAGGAATCTAGACAACAAAACAAACGAACAAGCAAAATATAACCAAAGACACTGAAATAGAGAACAGGCTGACAGTGACCAGAGGGGAGAGGGGAGGGAATTTCAGGGGAAAAGGGGAAGGGTTTACAGGACCAAGTATAAAGGACACATGGACAAAAACTAGGGGGAGGAGTGGAGATGGGAGGGAGATGGGGAAGGCTGGGGGGGGCGGGTGGGTTGGGCTGGGGGGAAAAGGCAGAAAACTGTGCTTGAACATCAATAAAAAAGAAAAAGAAAACAACTGCATTATGAATAGCCTCAAAAAGGATAAAATACACAGGAATAAATTTAACAACAGAAGTGCAGAAGTTACGCTCTGAAAACTACAAAACATTGTTGAAAAAAATTTTTAAAGCTCTAAATAACTGGAAAACTATCAGACGTTCATGGACCAGAAGATTTAGCAGCGTCGAGAGGGCAATGCTGCCAAACCGGCCTGCGGGTCTGATGCATTTCCCAGCTCACTGCTCTGTACCAAGGGACAGGCTCACCCGAAAGTCCCCACGGAACTGCAGGGGGCCCAGACCAGCTGGACCGATCCTGAAGAGGAACAAGGGGGGACCCACCACTCTCCGTTTCAGAACTTAGTACCGAGCAGTAACGAGTAAGACAGGGTGATGCTGGCACAGGACAGACACACGGATCCGTGAAAGAGGTTTGAGAGGCAGAGGTAAACCCACACATCTACAGTCAACTGATTTCCAACAAGTGTGTCGAGTCCATCCAGGTGGAAAGCATACCTGCTTACCCAGTGGCGCTGGACACCGAGGCGGCCACATGCAAAGGAATGAAGTGGGGCCCTCCCCTCACACCACATGCAAAGATTAACTCAAAGTGGATCACCGATCTAAACGTATGAACTAAAACTATAAAGCTCGTAGAAGAAAATACGCGGATAAATCCTCATGATCTTGGATTTGGCAATGGATTCTTAGGTTAAGACACCAAAAGCCCAAACAACCAAAGAAAAGACAGATAAATTGGACTCATTGAAACTTAGAGCTTGTGCCCTGGCTGGTGTGGCTCAGCGGATGGAGTGCTGGCCTGTGAACCAAGGGGTCACTGGGGTTTTTCTTTCTCCTCCCTCTCTAAATATAGTAAATAAAAGTGATTGCTAAATTCAAGATTATGAAAACTGGGTGGAAATAATTAAGGATTTAGTTTGTTCCATGAACCAAGGGGGCCACCGGATGGTTCCCAGTTGGGGCACGTGCCTGGGTTGCGGGCCAGGGGTGTGAGAGGCAACCACACATTGATATTTCTCTTCCTCTCTCCCTCCCTTCCCCCCTCTCTAAAAATAAATAAAATCTTTAAAAAAGCAGTAAGACAAATAATAACCCAGTTGAAAAATGACCAGATGACTTAAATAGAAATGTCTCCAAAGATATACAAGGGGCCCATAAACACACGAAAAGATGCTCAGCACCATTAGCCATTAGAGAAATGAAAATCGAAACCACAATGAGACACCACTTCACACCCACTAAGATTTCCGGAACCAAAACGTCAGGCCAACACACGTGCTGGTGAGGATGGAGGGAAACCCAAGCCCTCCCTCGCTGCTGCTGGGCATGTGCATGGAGCAGTGACTCTGGCACACAATCTGGCAGTTCCGTGAACGATCAAACATACAGTCATCACGAACACCCAGGAGGAATGAAAACGTGTGCTCGAGTAAACTGTGGTACGCAATGTTCACAGCATCATTACTCATGATAACCAGAGGGTGGAGACGAGGCAAATGTCCGTCTGCAGACAGAAGAGCAAAATGCAGTCTGCTCGTACTGCGCGTGGAGAATGACTCGGCCACAAACAGAAGGGGAGGACTGGCCCGTGCTGCACCAAGCAGAGCCCTGGAAATGTGAAGTGAGGAGGCCACGCGCCCAAGGACAGCTGCTGTATGATTCCGTTACACAAAACGCCCAGAACAGGAAATTATTCCAGGGAGAAAACGCAGATACGCGGTTTCCTAGGGCCGGGGGATGGGGGTGGGGGACCGGGAAGCGGCAGTTCCAGGGCGCGGGCTCCCTGTGGGGACGACGGAACTTAGTGTGACTGCAGTGGCGGGTTCGCACCCGTGTGAGCACACTAACGAGCACTTCATTACGCTGAGCGAGTTGTGTGGTATGGACCCCAATGAAGTTGTTTTAGAAAAGGAATCTAAGCCCGTGCTCTTGAACTTCTCTATCCCAGGGGCCAGAAGGGCAAAGAGCAGGGTCACAGGTGCGGGGAGGCGAACCGCAGGGTTCCCCAGCACTGCCACCAGGGGCGTCCAGGCCTCTGCGCTCATCACCCCAGCTGCCCCTGAGGATCTGGCCACCTCAGGTCCAGGGGTGTGGCTTGGTGCAGGGACAATCCGAGGAGGTCACAGCCCAGGGGGGTTCCCTCAGGCGTGTGCTAGATGTC